TCAAGGCCAGGCTGGATGAGGCTTGTAGCAACCTGATCTAGTGGAAGGTGTCCCTGCCCATGGCAGGGTGATGTAACTAGATGGTCTTTAAGGTCCCTTCCAACCCGAATGATTCTGGGAGTCTGAGTTTATGGGTGGTTTTTGTAACAGCATCAAGCGTGTGAGGTTTTGCATGAGAAGGTGGTACAGTGTTTGTTGAAATTAAGCAGTTGGCGGTAGTAGCCTTCTTAAACACATACATGATTCCTCTTTTTTTTTTTTTAAGATTATTCAAGGCTTTTTGACTCAATGAGAGGATAATATAATCACTGTAGAGGGGGATTAAGTGTTTAATGAGATTGGGAGTGCCCGTCTCTTTTATTCTTTTTGTCTTATACCTCCTGCTAAGACACATGTGTCTGCTGCAGAAAGCAATTATGTTATTAAGGGTTTAATATGTTTAGGCTTTTAGATCTGTCAGATTTTGGATCAAAAGCTGAGAATCTGGAAGAAAATCTCTGAATTCATGTGCCAGCTTCATGTGTATTCACATAAATTGATAAAACACTGAGTGTGGCAGGCAGATTTCAAGTGTACAGGGCAATTACAGTTTCACCCGCTGTAACATTATCGGTAAGGCAAAGTGATTTTAGTGTGAGTTTGTGGTAGTTGTCTTTCGTGGTTTAACTTTGGCTAGCAAAACATGATGAAGCTGCTCTCACAAATCCCCCTCCCCTCCTCCAGCAGAGGGGGAGAATCAGAGGAAAAAGAAATAAGGAAGCTCGTAAAATTGAGATAAGAACTATTTAGTAATTGAATCTGAATTAATATATACAAGTTCTACTGATAATAAATAATTAAAATGATAAAAAATAAAACATATGACACAATATGATACAATTCCTCACCACCTACTGACCAATGCACAACCAGGTGTTGAGTAGTGAGGGTCAGACCCAGAGAGCCTGAGGGCCGAAGCCCAAGAGCTGTCGCAGCAGATTCTAAGCGAACTCTTGTCAGCGATAGCACGGCCGGGAAAACTAAACAAACCCACCAACTCCCTCACGAAGGAGCCAGCACAGGAGGTAGCGAAGCAGCTAACACAGAAGTCAGGGAGAGGGTTAGCAAGTGTACGGGAGTGAACGAGAGAGAGAGTAAGGGGGAGAGTAATGGCTCCCGGACACCCTCCTCACCTCTGCCCCGAAGAGAGAGTAAGGGAGAGTGATGGCTCCCAGACCCCTCCTCGCCTCTGCCCCGAGCATGACGTACTATGGCATGAAACACTCCCTTGGTCAGTTGGGGTCAGGTGCCTGAGCTGTGTGTCCCTGCACTGCCTGTAGCGAGACAGCGAGAGCTGGGAACGCAGCTGCAGGGTCAGAAGCAGAGAAAGACCTTGAATCTGGTGCAGGCATTGCCCAGCGCCAGCTGAGAACTTACCAGTGCTGCTCCCTGCATCCAGGAACAGCTTCCTTCCTGACTGAACCCAGCACACTGTCCCAAAGACTTGTTGGCAATCAGGGAAAATGCAAAGGGTTGAGATACTGTGGGAAAGGGTTACAGGAAACTAAGGTAATTGTGAGAACATTAACTGCTTTGGGGGATAACATAAGCCATAAATGCAGAAAAATCTCTTCCTATGTCTCTATTGCAGTGTAGCCATACTGAAACTCTCTACCTGTGTAGTGAACGTGAACAGAGCTGGAGCGCTGATGTGACAGAGGCCGTTATGTTATGTAATCAATCCTTCCAGAGCCGTTCTTCCTGCTCTGTGCAGCTGAGGCCAGGCCATCCTCTCCTGCTTTGGATAAGCAGGGAGTCAGCAGTCATCTCAGCTTGCTGGTTGCACGGATACTGGAGCAGTTGGTTGCAGAGAAGTTTGTTGGGGTTTGGGTGTGAGGAAGCTCAGGCTGTCTGAATGTGGAAATTAAAAACCCCCTTAAAGTGTAGTGGTTTCTGGAGAACGGCTTAATGCTCTTAAGCTTTATTAGGGGTACGTTCAAATCTGCGTGGCAGTTTTCCTGGACCACGGGTGGATGTGCATCACACATGCATCCCACCACCTCATAGTGGTGCTGGTACAGGCGTCCTCCTCTTTCTCACCTGAGTGATGGTCTTCTGGGCTGAGCTGGCATCATATTCCGGCGTGGAAGAACGGACTGATCGTATAACAGGGTACCTCTGATGGCTTGCTCTGCCTCTTTTCCTCTTGCTTCCCATCCATGGCTAATGCATGCAGCTTTTTCCTTATACCTGCTGGATGCAGCTGCTGGTTCCTTCTCTGGCAGGCCTCTGTGCTGCAGATGCTCACCATCTGCTAACCAGCAGCTGCTTCAGGCTCCTTCCAGCTTCCCCCTCCGGGATGGCTCCTCGGGCATGGAGCATTCTCTCCTCCTTCCCCTTGTCAACTCACATCACTCTTCTGCAATTCAACTTCCCCATCCCCTATATTTGAAAGAGGGATCGAAAACAATCTGTTTCATCTTCGTGTCCCAAATGGAGCATCTGATCCTTTTTTTTCTCCAGAATCACTCTGTGCAACACTAACCCTGTAATGATGCGGAGAACAGCGCCAAGAGCTGGCACTGAAGGAAGCAGGATTCAGTCCTCTGGGGCAAGCCCTGACTGGGTCTACACAACTAACCACCGGCAGGCTCTTAAATTAATTGCAGTGTTGAGCATTAGCCTCTGAGGTTTCTGAAATACCTGGTGGTTTGGCATTCATGGTGCCAAAAATGCACTGGGGAATGTCAGCCATAAAACAAATTCTGGCTGTAGATGCAAAAGGTAGCAGCTGGGAAACAGGAGTGGTTTAGTCACCTTCTCCTGGCTCTATTTTTATAACTGCAATCAGCAGCAAATCCGAGTAGAACCTGGTTCTTACTTAAACTGATCTCAATTTCTTGAATACAGTGAATAGGAAAAGGAAGGTGGAGTCCTTAATACATCATGAATATGGATGAACTTAATCCAAGGCATAATGATAATCTCGTTTGAAGATGTGATTGAAAAATTTCCAGGATGTATCTGCTTTGATTTATTTCCTTTCCTGTTTCTTTATGAATTCTGCTCCTTACTTGCCAGATTCTGCCCTCTTGCTCTGTTTCTTCAGAGCTTGTGATTGGAACCACCTTTAGTTAGTTTTGTGAGCAGGAAAGTATAAATGGTTTTGCTTATATAAGGTTTTGTAGCAGAAGCACACACCTTATATTTAGTTTTCTTCATAAACTCTGTTTTGAGGATGTAGGATGAAGGAAGCAATTTAAAACCGGTATTTGTAGTTAATTTTGCCCCTGTCTTAATATGAGAGGCGAGTGTATTTTTAACAGCGCGTTATATTTTTTTAAACTTGCCTAAATGAACGGTTAAAAAAGTGTGTTTGAAACAGCATGGCTCCCACTTACAGCCACTGTAGTGCTTTTGACTCTGACCTGTGTAAGTCTGAGAGAATATTTTAGGTAAATAGCTCATGTGCTGTTTAGCCCTATCAGCTGATGCTTGACGTACCCAAAATATTAGTTTCCTTCTCTGATGCTTGTCCTGTATCACAAGACTTTGATTTTGGTTGCCTGCTCACTGTGGCTGCTCTTAAGTGGGGTAACAAAGTTTTTTAAACTTGCTGTTTGTCTGCCCCAGTTTAAAAATCGTATAACTATCAAAAAGGGGGTGTGGTTGGGTAAGTAAATTGGAAGCTATTGGGGAGATTTTAATTCTTGATGGATTTATGGATGATTTTATTGTTGTCTCTTCCAGCCAATAAAAAGAAGGAGAAGGAGCGGCCGGAGATCTCCCTCCCTTCAGACTTTGAACACACAATTCATGTGGGGTTTGATGCAGTCACGGGAGAATTCACGGTAAGTGCATCTGGAGGAAAAGCAAACTGTGAGCTTTGGCTTATTGCTGGGAGGAGCCAGGACCCATTAATCTTTTATACCGTGATGCTGGAAAGGCCATTACCATCATCTAGTTTGGTCTCCTTTGAAACACATTTCCTGCTGGGAGACTGTTTGTCAAATTTGGCACATCCCAGGAGCCCAGGCTGCCAGCTAACTTTTCCTTTCCTGTCTTTTGGCTGACAGCAAAACATTTTCTGTCCTCACTTCCCCTTCCCTCCTCTTCTAGAGCTGGATTAGGTCTACAGCATCATCTGTGCCCACCACGGAGACCCGCAACTGTGCATAACTCTTTATGGCAGAATGTGTATGTGCTGTCCTAAGGCTGAATATTAGATGCTTTTATTTCTTTATTGATATGGAACATAACTCTGTTTTCATAGTATTTTGCATCATATTATTCTCCTTAATTTGATTATGAGATAGTATTTAATAGCAGCAGAAGTTGATGTGAACAAGCTGGTTTTATCAGTCTTTAATGTGCTGCGTTTTTGGGGACTTTGCTCTCCTAACCTGCTCTCCTAACCTGAGTGATGTGTACAGTTGTGTTTGGTATGTCAGCTGAAGTCACCCTTGCTATGCCAGCTGCGCATTACACGAATGGTGTGTCCAGCCATCCTTTTGAGCAGGGAGGGAGAGTTTCTTGATAAAGGATCCCAGCCACTTGCCACTTCATCTATAACAAACAGTTATTCTTGATGGGGATGGAAGGCACAAGTCCGGTTGTACTCCAGATGTTTTTAGGGTAGGTTTAGACTGGACATCAGGAAGAAATTCTTCATGGAGAGGGTGGTGAAGCACTGGCACAGGTTGCCCAGAGAAGCTGCAGATGCCCCATCCCTGGAAGTGTTCAAGGCCAGGCTGGATGGGGCTTTGAGCAACCTGGTCTAGTGGAAGGTGTCCCTGCCCATGGCAGGGGGGTTGGAACTGGATGGTCTTTAAGGTCCCTTCCAACCCAAACCATTCTGGGATTCTGTGATTTATTTTCTGGCTGAAATGACGTCCCTGTAATGAAATTCTGATCTTCACATGTGAAGTGAACATCTCTGCTTTCTCAGATCTGGTTACAGTAGGCATCAAACCTCTGTTATCAAAGAAAACTCTACTGCTACCAGAAGACCCAAATGCACGTTGTGTGTTCATTGCGCTGGGTGCTATACAGCCTGTGTTACTTCTGTGGTCTTTCTTGGATATATGTAAACATGTGCAGCCCCGTGCATAAAGGTTTTTATTTTTTGCTTGAGGCTCTTCCTGAACCACAGCATTTGGGTCTGCTCCTTTCTGCCTGTTGAGTTTTGGTCTTCAGAGAACGTGGGGCTCGCCCAGAGCCCCCTGAGCAGGGTGGCATTTGCACGCCCATGTGCGGGATGTGTGACTCGTAACACAGGCAGTGGCTGGGAAGGTCCCGATCCACCTTTTCTGTTTTCCTTTCCTCTCCTCTTTTCTCCCTGTTTCCCTCACAGCACTGAGTAACCCCAGAAACCGTGGCAGCGTGTGTGTGTGTGCTGTGAACCGCGTTAGACTGTGAGCTAACGAGTGCATCTCCCACAGGGAATGCCGGAGCAATGGGCGCGTTTACTGCAGACTTCCAACATCACCAAGTCGGAGCAGAAGAAGAACCCCCAGGCAGTGCTGGACGTGTTGGAGTTTTACAACTCCAAGAAGATCTCCAACAGCCAGAAGTACATGAGTTTCACAGGTACGTGGTGATCATCTCATCCAGCTGCTTTGTCCACCTTTCCATTAGTCACTCCATGTGGGGTTTCTTTCATTTAATCAACAAGTGGATCTGTCTTTTTAAATGTGAATGAGGCTGTCTGGCTGCTCAAACTCTCCTCTTCCTTTAAAATGCTGTTCTGTTAATCCTGATGCCCAGCATAGCTGCAAAAGAGGAGGTCAATCAACTCACAAAATCCCCAAACACATAGGTTTTCTGAAGCTTACAGCCAGCATCTGGAAGGCAGATCCCAGAGTGTTGGTGTTGGGTTCCCAGCGATGAAAATCCTTGGAGAAAACAGGCAGCTAAATTTTGCACCAGTTTCAGTTTCCAGCGTGGGTGTGGATGTGGATTTGTGCATGCCTGGGGTGAGGGTCTCTCTGTTCCCATTTACTGTGATTGAGGAATATGCCTCAGCTGCCAGGTGCTTGATAACTGCTGGCTGGATTCCTCTCAAAGTCAAAGCTGCCAAGGTTCTCTGCCACCTTTGTATGGATTACCTGCCCACTGGAGGACTCCTGCAACCACCACTCCTTTTCCCTTTCAACTCTTAACTTCTTCCCTTTCTAAATATTAATCCCTGCTTTGCCTCTTTTTAAGAGGATAGAGCCATGTCACCAGAACTGGTGTTAATTAGGAAGGCTCAAGGCAGGGATAAAAGCACAAATCTTCTTCATGTGTGCCTGGGTAGTCAAACAAGAAGCCCACCAGTCTCGTGGGGTCCTCTCTTGCTATTCCAGGAAGTTTAGGTGGCTGAGATTGAACATCTTGCAGGTCTTGGGCTAGCTGCAGGGCCTCTGCTGGCCACTTACACCATGGAAAATATCTTATGTGTGTGTATATATATGGATGGCGTTCATTCAGGTGTTGCTCTGGGAAATTCCACCCTCCTGCAGCAGGGATTCTGCATTTATCTGCAGAATTTTTTTTTACTCTCTATTCCCGTATCTGCTGGTTGGCAGCTGGTTCTGAGGAGCTGAAGGTAATGCCTAAGTTTGGGAGCATCTTTTTTTCCCTGCTCCTTCCAAAAGGAGCTGGTCCCTTTCTCCCTTCTGCTGGTGCTGCATTTACAACTCGTTTATAACAGTGCTACTGTCTCTTGCAGATAAATCAACAGAGGATTACACTTCATCAAATACATTGGTAAGCCTTAGATTCGCTCTCTGTCTCAAGTTTGGGGATTTAAACACTTGCCTAAAATAGTTAATTACATGTGAACTTCTAGTATTTTAAAATATGAACTCTATGTATTTGTAATTTGTATATATATATTTTTTTTTTAATAAAACCAGGCATGCTCCTTTCACTTTTTTTTTTCAGCTGGGGGAGAATCAATTAGGCAGAAGTAGCTATTAGTGAATAGAAATTAGTGAATTACTGAATAGAAATAGTTCTGTTTTCATAGAAGTCGAGCTGTTCCTCTACCTAGAATTTGATAACAGCTTTACTTTCATGTTTTAGATGTGTCTATAAACATCTGTGCTATAAAAAAGTTTAATTACTAACCTGCAAGGTCTGACTGACCAAAACTAATGTTGATTAACCAAACTGATCTCCAGCAGAAAAGGAAATAAAAAGTTCTGTTCCTCTCTGCATGACCTTTACTCTGTCCTTACAAGGGCAGGCACCACTCCTGTTTGCTTTGAGAGGAGACACCATACGTTTCTGTGTGTGCGGCTGAGATGGAAGAAACAAAGCTTTCAGGTCAAGATGATTCGTAAAACCCCACAATTCCCTCATCGTTTGTTCTCTCGCTGCCAAGCCATTATCTAGAGTTGGCTTTGCTGTGCTCCCTCCCGCAGGCAGCGTCTTCAGGACCATTTAGGATGCTGCAAAAAGGAGAATATTTCTGCCGTTGTTCATTATTACACATCATTGTGTGTCAACCCTTGGGAGTTTAGAATATCTGAGGCTGCTGGATTTTTAAAGTAAATCCTGAAAAAAACAGTAGTTACTAGTCTAGAGAGAGCCTGATGTTTTTGGAAGACACTGGGTAACCTTTAATTTTGGGGATATTCAAGAGATTCCCAGTATATAGGTGTGTTTTCTTGTTGCTTTTAACAGGTTAAGCTTTTGTATTATGTCAAGTGCACTTCAGAAATTATATATCAGGATGCTGGTGACTGCAAGTATTTTAGGTTCAGTGAAATAGTACATTGTTTTCCCTCTCTTTCAGAGAGAATTTTAATACTTTCCTCTGCCACTCTTATGGGACTGATGCTGCACAAGCAGAACTGGTCTAATAGGCTGAGGATCTTGCCAAGTTTATTTTGAAATGTTTATAGTGTACAGGATGCTGTGAACTTCAGATCCAGTTTCAAATTTAAAAGGATAAAAGTGACTTTGATTTCTAATCGCACTATTGCAAAAAATTCCAGATTTTTTTTTAACCACTCATAAAACATCTTTAAAAAAAAAAACCTTGTTCCTGTTTATCATAAAATTTTCTTTTAGAAAGCAATTTTAAAAGGGATTTGAGAAGACTTTACCAGATTCTGCTTCTAAAATCTCTTATTACTTAGTTCTAAGCCACAATGCCAAAGCTGATTTTAACTTGACCTCCGAGCTTTTAGAGAAAACCTGAAGATTTCAATGCAAACAAAAACAATTAAAGACTGAAATCTCCTATCTGCACCATGGGGGTTTCAATCAAACAGCAAAACAGAAGAGCCAACATAAATAAGGATGAATAATTCCAAACCTGATGTTATCCCCAGAACTGCTGGGTCTGCCATGTGGGTGTTGGGAAGGCAGGGGGAGAGTCAAGGTGGGTCTCGGGTCCTTGGGAAGAGGATTGCCATCAGGCAGGCAGATGACAAGTTCTGTCTGAACAGCCATGTCGGGCAACGCTGGACTTGCCCCTCCATTTCCCACGGAGGCTCAGGATCTTTGGGCTTTGAATTGTTCTGATATTGTAACCTGCTAGCCCGTTTGGCTTGTTGTTTTTCTGCAATGCAGTCTCTGTTTGGGCCTAACCCAATGTCTCTGATTTTGTTTATAACAAGCAATTGGGTTTTTATTTTTGCTATTTGTCTAACCACGTGCAGAATGTGAAGGCTGTCTCGGAGACCCCTGCAGTGCCCTCGGTGTCTGAAGATGAAGATGATGAAGATGATGCAGCTCCACCCCCTGTGATAGCTCCACGACCCGAACACACAAAATCTGTGAGCACAAAGATTGCAACAAGAGCAATAACAAGATGAATAGGAGTGTTTGTTTTCATCTGACTTGTATTAATGTTTTTTTTCCTCAACCAAATTAGATATACACCCGCTCTGTGATAGAACCTCTTCCTCCTCCTACCAGAGATGCAGCCACCTCTCCTATTTCTTCTCCCTTGGAAAACAGCACAACGGCACCTGACATGCTGGTCAGGAACACGGAGAAACAAAAGAAAAAGCCAAAAATGTCAGATGAAGAGATCTTGGAAAAATTAAGTATGTCCTTTCTTGTTTGTTTTTTTTTAAAAAAAAAATCAATTACAGGTCCTGCTGTGTTGATTTCTCAAAATCTTCATAAGCTGAAATGCTTTGAAATTCCCATTTTGAGATCCCTTACTGAAGACAGTGCATTGTGACTGGGCCAAGACTGGGGGCAGATGTAAGGAGGGAGCATAAATATAAGCTGAGCACCTGTGATGCCAGCTGAAGTCTCCAAGGAGTTACAGATCCTCAGGCTCTGCAAAACAAGCCCTAAATAAGTAACATCCACTTAACTATGGAGTTGGAGATCGTTCCACATCTTGATATTCTGTAGCTCTGGAGCGGGGATGGTTATATTCATAGACTCATAGACTGGTTTGGGTTGGAAGGGACCTTAAAGACCATCTAGTTCCAACCCGCCTGCCATGGGCAGGGACACCTTCCACTAGACCAGGTTGCTCAAAGCCTCATCCAGCCTGGCCTTGAAGACAGTATTTTATGAAGCAAAGACCAGGTTCTAGGTGGAGAAAACTTAATCTGAGGGTAGAACTTTAAAAGAAAAAGGTATCCAAGTACCTCATTCCTCTAACTAAAGCCTAAGTTGAATTGATGGCATGTTAACTGGAACTACTTCCCATCGTAAAACTCATACTTGTTGTTTCAAAACAGCAGCTTCACTTGCTCAAGTAGCAGGGCCTTTGTCCTGTTAAGGATTCGAGCTGGTTTTGTGCCCAGGGAGGGCAGCGGGGACTGTGTCAGAAACAAGTGTTGTTCTAATACACTGCCTGCTGTAACGAAGCAAAATGCAAGCGGTGCTCTTAGGAGTGCTGGGAGGCAGATGTACCTTCTGACACCTTGCTTGCTCCAGCAAGTGGTGTTCAGTGCTGAATTGATTATCACCGAGGGGTTTCCTTATAAATACACGGTGTGTGTGGGGGGGGTTCAGTGCCTGCTGTTAGGTGTCAGCTTCTAGATGTGGGCTGGTCAGAAATACACGATGAAGTTCTAACCCTGTTGTCAACTGATGTTTTTCTACTGAGGGTGGTGGATCTGTACTTGTGCAAAGATGTGCAACCTCTTCATGTTTTGGTTTGACATGGGAATGCATGACTAGAATCTTAACACACACGGTATATTTACACATACTGAAGATGTGCAAAGGTTAAAAAGAAGCTGATAAGTCTCTACCTCTGAGCATCAACACAGCATTGGTACAAACATTAATGAATCATCGCCTGATGTTTTAGAAGGTAGAAAACACCACCTCATTTCACAGATGAGAGCATTAACGAGACTGGCAACTGCCTCTTGTCATTGCTGTGGGGAAATATTTGTCTGTCTAGCAGTCTGAACTTGTAGCCTGTGTAAGACTTTGAGGGAAAACTTATGAACATTTGTCCAGAAATGCATGTCCTCAGGGCAGACAGCATTGCTTCTGTAATTGTACAGCAGGGTTTATATAGTCAGACTTCTCTTCCCGCCCTCCTCTCCAAACATGGACCATATTCCCTTCTTTTACCTCTGTCTGCCCTAAAGCCTGTGGGTTTGGCTGCTTTCCAGTGACATCTGAAAATAGCCTGCTCGTGCTCTGCTTGCTACTGGATTTCTTGGCCTAATGACCATGAGCAGTTTCTTTGCCAACATACATCTGTTTAGGCTCAGCCCTACACCCCTGTGAAAGCAGCACCATATGTTGGCAGCTTGAGTGACTTACAAACACCGACTCGGATGCAGTTCTGCATCCCTTGATCCTATTAACCACCCTGGTGCTGTTAGAGAGATGTGCTCCCAGATGAGCTGTAGGAATCGTAGGCTCCGATTTCTTCAGCCTAAAAAGGGTGTGATTCCTGTCTGCCATAGGGGTGTTATGAATATCAGTTATTGTTTGGAGGGAGCGTTGAATTTTGGTGTTGCACTTTTGTCACCAATTTACCCCTTGGCATCCCACCTGCCCTTGTGCTCAGAGCTTCTTCCCCTTGTATGTCATGTTCCTCATGGATACCACATACACCTTGAGCCTGTGCGGCCCCTCACTGCCCCGTGGTTGCAGAACACCAAGCAAAGAGCTTTTCCCTCTGAGGGCTGCAGTAATACACTTTCTTCTGGCTGAACAGCCACATTAGGGGAAAATGAGCGGAGATTGCCTTGGGTTGTTCTCTAAAACCAGAGCAATGCTGCAGTCTCATGGCAACTGCTGCTAAAGCCTGCACTGCCTGTCGAGGTTCTGGAAGAACAGCTGGGCAATGCCCAGGCCAGGTGAAGTTTGGCTCTGAAGGGTCTCTCCAGCTCCCCTCCAGAGTCTTGCAACCCAGTCACTGGGTCAGTAATGACTACAGTCCTGCCAATAGTGCAGCCTTGCAGTACCTGAAGGGGGCTACAAGGAAGCTGGGGGGGACTTTTTCCAAGGGCCTGTAGTGACACGACAAGGGGTAACGGGTTTAAATTGGAAGTGGGGAGGTTTAGATTAGATATCAGGAAGAACTTCTTCACGGAGAGGGTGGTGAGGCCCTGGAACATTTTGCCCAGAGAAGCTGTGGATGCCCCATCCCTGGATGTCTTCAAGGCCAGGCTGGATGAGGCTTGGAGCAACCTGGTCGAGTGGAAGGCATCCCTGCCCATAGCAGGGTGGTTTGAACGGGATGATCTTTAAGGTGCCTTCTAACCCAAACCAGTCTCTGCTTCTGTAATTCTATATTTTCTCATCTTCTCCTCTGAGAGAAGAAACTGACCTCCCCCTCTCTGCACCCCCCTTTCAGGGAGCTGTAGGGAGCGATAAGGTCTCCCCTGAGCCTCCTCCAGGCTGAACACCCCCAGCTCCCTCAGCTGCCCCTCACAGGACTTGTGCTCCAGACCCTTCCCCAGCTCCGTTCCCTTCTCTGGACACGCTCCAGCCCCTCAGTGTCTTTCTTGTAGTGAGAGCCTGAAAACTGACCCCAGGATTTGAGATGCAGCCTCACCAGTGCAGTCTCACCGGTACATCTTAGATCATCCAGCATGCTGCAGCTGGGAGTGACTTTCAGTTGGAGGTTTCCTGCAAATAACTGTATTTACCTGTGCGAGGTCTGTGTCCCCATCCTGTGCAGTCACCCGCTGCTAGTGAAGGTTAAATGTGCTTAATGTCTGCATCCCACCATTTCTGAGAGGAACACTGAGCTGGTGTGTGTGTGTAAATATCTGAGGACTTCCTTGGTCTTCCTGTGCCTCTGGATTTCTGGGAAGTAGTTCACGAGGCTCAGCAGAGCCCGCTGTGGCCATAGGGCTGCTCTTACAGTACAGTTGGTTCTTACAGCTGTATGAAAAAAGTGCCTATAAAATCCTCTTGGGTTCTCGTTGCAGGGAGCATTGTGAGCGTGGGTGATCCGAAAAAGAAGTACACATGTTTTGAGAAGATTGGGCAAGGGTTAGTATGTGCTGCTTCTCCCTCCTGTGCCTTTCCTTGTGCTAAGAAGGAAGCTGAGTTAGTTTGCTGGAAAAGCCGTTGGTGATGCTTTAAAGAGTTTATTTTGTTTGGTGGTTTCTTTCCTTTTGTGTTTTTGGGGGTTTGTAGCTGTTTTGGTGAGTTCTACTCCCTCAGGTCTTCTCCCTTTCCTGGCAAAGGCTTGAGTTGCAGGGACTGAGGTTTTTGTGTGATTGATAAGAAAATATGTCATTAGATGATCAGGTTGCTAAATACAGCTGCAGGCAGGCAAGGAACTGCGTATTTTCAGTATGCAAGACAATCTTCAAAGTACAGACTTGCTTTCTGAATCAGCTCTCCTCCACATGGGTTGTGCCCTTCTCAGAGGGTAGAGGGAAAGTAGGATTTGTGAGAGAGGCTGTAGTGAGGCAAATCACTGAGATCTGCTGCCAGCTCCATGTGCTGAGGGTCAAACTCCCATTTCCCTTATTCCAAATGCCACGTTTGTTTATGTTAGCTGATCCTATCAGCTCTGTAATCGTGCTGGGCAGTCTGCAGCCCGGGGCAGTGCAGCCATGCCAGTTTAAACGGGATCAACTCACGGTCCTACAAGCTGTGCTAAATTGCTGGTTATCAGCAAGGATTTGGATGACCAGAGTGTTCCTTATTAGGAGCTTTGTTCCCATAAATTCTCTGGCTTCTGCTTCAACAGCAGTCTTGACTCAGAAATATTTCAGATGATATTTACCACTGGAATTATTGCATGAAAAGGAATGGGACTGAGAGCACTTCAGAGAGACAAGTGGGAAGGAGCACGTGTTAAGCTCTCAGTCTTGCTAAAAGACACTAATAACTTTTTTTTTCTTCTTTTTTTCTTCTTTTTTTCCTCTCTTGTTTAGAGCCTCAGGGACAGTTTACACAGCCATGGATATAGCTACAGGACAGGAGGTAAGTGCTGCCAGAAAAACAGAGCAATGGATTTTGGATTGTGTCCTAAAAGTTCAGGTTGATGCTATGAAATAAAAATGGTCTTTCAGGGGTTCATGACATCTCCTTTTTAATGTGGTATTTATTTACTTGCTAATGAGGCATGGTCGAGTGATCTGAGCAGAGAACTGGAAAAAAGTGATTTCCCAGCTTTTGATTCCTGAATTATTTCGTATTCTAAAGAATCTTTCTGTGACCGCAGAGGTTAGAAGCAAACGTTCAGGCTGGATCATTCCTCAGTAGAAGTTTGTCTTCATCCCCAAGATTCCTGCCTGTCCCCATTTAAACTCTCCTAGATGCCCTCTGCTTCTTTGCTTCCTACACTTACACTAGTTGACTCGCGTGGAAATAGCTCCCCTCCCGCCCTTTGGCCACTTGCTTTCTGCCCTTGAATTGAGAGATGAGCAACGTCTGTCTGTCCGTCTGTCCCCCCCTCTCCTCCCCAAGTACTAAAAAGTGCCCTGCTGAAACTCCTTCACCCCCTTTTCCCGTTCCTCAAGGATTAATACAGTTTAATCGCAGCCTTTGAGGAGGGGACGTTGCGTTTTGAAGAAGTGAGAAATTTTATAGGAGGAGGAATTCTTTTGATGGTTTTCTGCCTTCTTTCTGGACCCCTTCAGTGACTCCCATGGGAATATTTGAACCCTTACGTTACAACAGACTTTTACATCATTCCCACTGCAGTAGTGTGATCGGGCCCTGGATTTTTAAACTTGCATTTGGGGTCGCTGTAACCTTGGCATGCTGTTGACCTGTTCCTACCTGTGAAGCGCTCAGTCCTTCGAGCTGGGCAGCTAAGAGAACAGCAACACGTTTTGGAAGCACCGGAAGGAAAGTCCTTTATTTTGCTCTTTACAGGAGCCTTGGGCAGCTCCCAGGGTTAAGAATACTGAAGGTTTTCACTGATGGTGGCTGTTTAGTGCAACTACAGCTGTTTATTTTGTATCCTGATGCACGGGACAGTCTTAGATAGGAAAAATGCCCCTGTATGCACTTGGACCATGGGGCCACCTGGGAACAGGAGTGAGGAAGTACAGGAGCCTCTCTGCATCTCCCCTCAGCATTGGTCTGGGATTTCTTTATCTGCATCAAATGCCTTCCCTCGCTTCATCTTTCATTCTCCCCTCTGGCCGCACGCAACGAGCAGCAGGAGTGGTTTGGTTTTGTTGTCTCGACTCTTTGGCAGCCCTTGTGAACGCTGTGGAAAACCAATGTGGTATCTGTCAGTTCTTGCCTCCTCGTGTGTTGGGACTTTTCTATAGTCTCCCCTGCTATACTATCAAAATACTAGTTGTATCCATCTATATTGCTGCTCCGTGCCTTGTTTCTTTGTGAGCTGGAGTTACCGGCTCTCCTCCATTCGCCTAGGCCTCCTTCCTCTGCAAGTAGCACTTTTGTAAAGGCATCATTACATTTCATTCCCTTTGCCTAAATATTGCACCAAATACAGTCGGGTTGTAACGTCTATGGAAGTGTTTCTGCCTCCTGCTATGCTGAGCGGTCTTACTGATTTGAAGGCTTGTCTGAGGGCCAGGTGCTCTCTTGAAGTACTGGTAGCATGGAGAGTTGAAAACGTGTTGTATGCTCCTGGTTTTTGTGCATATAGATGCAGAGTAGGTACAGTGAAGCTGGCAGAAAACCACTAAACCAAAGGGCCACAACTGATGAGTCTGCCCCTATTTCCCTTTGGGGAAAAGCTGGATCCAATTCACTTATTTTTAGCCTTTTATCTAAAGGCTGGTGCTTCTTTCCCCCAGGTCTTGCTGTGACAGAATTACCACCTTGAATTACTAAGCTTAGGCTACGTTATTTATCCCCTCCATGCATGGCCACTCTGCTGTAGGTTTCTAGAACCACAGATTTGCATGGGAGCGGAAAAAAACCCAAACAAACACCAAAAAACTTCCAGAAACATCCAATGCAAAATAAAATATGTAAGAATCCTTTAAGAAATAAAGGGGTTTGACATTTCAGTCCATCCTAGACTAAGGGAACCTCTTTGTTATCCGAAGCTGTAGCTAGCTATCCAACGTGGCATAAAGGTCCAGCATGAAAATAGTAATTCCCCTTGTTCTTTTTGGCATTAAGCATCCTCCAGCACGTGTGGAAATGGACTAGCTGCAGGAACTCGCAGAGTTACTAGCTGGCTAAGCAATTTGTGATTAAAAAAGTGTTTTCCTGCTTCACGTGGATGTGGCACTAAAATAATGGACACTGGTACTGGCAGGTTTCTAGGGGACTCGCAAATAATGTCTTACTTGGTGGTCTTTTACTACAGGTTGCAATCAAGCAGATGAATTTGCAGCAGCAGCCCAAAAAGGAACTGATTATTAATGAAATCCTTGTGATGAGGGAAAACAAAAACCCCAACATTGTCAACTACTTGGACAGGTATGTCATGATTTGAAGAGTTCACTTCCTTGTCACCGTCTTAAGTGGTCACTCTCCATGCCCTAGGAGAAAGTGATGTCTGAATCGGTATTAGAGGGGTACCTAGGCTCTCTAGAGATGATGGCAGCAAAGGCAGTAGCAGTATGCTGTCAGGACTCTGTTTTTCACCTCTCTCCTTCACCGAATTTGACACAACAAGCTATTTCCTTCCTGCTACTAGAGAAGAAATAGAAATAGGTTGAACTGTGTTATTTGTATTTGCTTTCCTCTTCCTCTTTTTTCTTCTTCCACTGAGCAAGTGGAGGAGTTTGCAGAGGAGCAAACTCCTTCTAGGGTGAGATGGTTATTTTGTCCCTGTGGCTGTCCACTGCATGGTAGCGTAACAGTGATGAGCGTGAACGACGTGCAACATGTAACCAGGCAAGGCTGCTTTCCTGTGGGTGTGAAAAAGCAGGAAAAGCACACCTGGTACAGACCTAAGAACTCTTTGGAAGACAGAGGGAAAACGGTTATTATTTGCACAGGCTTTGTGGGCTCATACACGTGCTGTTGTCACTCCTGCTCAGCTTTGGATACGTTATATCCATATGGGACAGCTCCTGCTTGAACCCTGCTTCTCCTTACTCCTCTTGCACCTGGGTTGGGGCAATCC